CCCCCCGCCCCTTCCTTGCCCTCTCTCCCCCTCACCCCTTGCCCCTTTCTCTTTCTCCTCTCTCTCTCTCTCCCCTCCCGCCCTGCTTATTTAAATATAGGAATATGGAATGGAGACTGCAGATACAACTGGCAACTCAAAAACCGAGCTGGCATCTTCATAATCATTAAGAGACAATCTGAGTGGTAGACTAATTGGTAGCTAGCACAAAAGCTGACTTTACATCTCACACTGCCCCAGTCTGGAAGCCTTCTGCATTTCCTTTTCCTTGCTTTCTTTTTGTTCATTGCAACACTGATTGTCGTAGATAGTCTTTGTGCTTTGTATAATGCCCATCTTTGATGTAACTGGAACTCACATACAAAATGTGGCTGTTATACATAAGCATGCTAGAATACGGGCAGGGACAGTACAAGCATGCACAAAATAGTCTTTGAAGGGTTTTTCGTTTGTTTTTCTTCAACATTTACATGCACCACTTAATAGCAGGTTTGGTTGTGTACACTGAGGACTGGATTTCACAAGCATTTATGATCTTCTCTTCTGAAAAGCTTCTTGGCAATTTCACAAGAGCCCAGTGTAAAAAAAAATCCCACAATTAAAAAAAAAAGGAAAAAAACCTTATCCCTGCAGTCTGATCTTGTCTTCATGATTTTAATGTTGAACTCTTCTAAAGTGTCTCCTCTTCCTCTTTCAGAGTTTCATGTTAAATGGTCGCTGGAAAGACAGATTAGTGTGTCAAGGATTTTCTTAGCCACTGGAATAGTTCTTCCTTATAAAGCCTTTGCCACCGCACATTGGCTTCCACTGTTTCCATGGCACGAGAGAAAGAAGCAGCAGCTCCCCCTTCATAACTCTTTATAAAGTTCTTTAGCTGGAAATAGAAGTTAACAAGTTAAATGTGCAGGAACGAAAGGAAGTAAATATTTTCAGTGCACACAAACAAGTCAGGCATTTAGGACAAACCTCCACGATCACCGCTGAAGTAAGTGTAGTATCGTGTAGAAAGATTTAATAGGAAAAGTAGTAAGACATCAGTCTGTCAAATGTGATGCAATTGCTTCATGTTGCACTGGAAGATATTGACATGTCAGCACCAGATCACATTAATATCATTACCTTCTCTCCTGCAGCCCAGCTGCTGCACTGCGTAGACAGCTGCGCTGCTCTAAACTTTTATTTCTACCTAAGAAATCAAACTAGGAGCACTGGAAATGCCTCTAATTCAGGTTTATATACAAATATCAGCAGAAGGCAGCCCTGGTGCCCTTTGGTTTTATCAAGCTTCACAACAAATTTGTTTCATTTTGATTTGCAGAACCCTTTTGATGATATAATGCAAGTCGGTTGTTCAGAAAAGAAAGGGATGGTTACAGTGTGAAGAGAGTGGCAAAATAGCAAGTGGACATTCATTTGATGATCTTTGAATGCCTGAAACAGATTCCTTCTCCTGTGATAAAACTTTGATCTTTTTTCAGCAGACTGAAAAGGCCCCTGCTCTATTCTTGTGTATACTCAAATTATAGCACTATCTCCTGGATTATTATAGCTGATGGCACTGGTGTGCTTTGAATTACTGTTCTTTTCAAGTCAGAATTGCAAGGCTGATCTGCACAGTAGGTTGCTGGGTATGTTGACTTGTATAAAATGAGGTGGGTTTAGCAACACTTATTCATAACTAGCTAATTTTTGTTTCCTGGTGACACCAAATTCACCTTGTTAATTTAAATCTAACTTCCAACATCATCTCATTGTACATGGGCTCAAAATCGAAAAGGCTGATCCTGCAACTGTCTCATTCCCATCACAGTTAAAAGTATGGAAGGGACCTGGAAACTATCAAAATCAGACTTTACCTGATCTCTGTACTTGATATACCAAAATGTTTACAAGGCCAGTTTCTTCTACAGGAAGTACGAACAGCCAGCCCGCCAATACTACCGTGGAGGTGCAAACTAAGAGTACAGAAGGCTTCCTTGTGCAGGGCAGATACTGAAATCTGGCCAGCACTGTCCTTCCCACCTGGGTAGCTTTGAGGAAACCAACTGCCACTCTTCCCTAAGTTCCTAAGGCCACTAGACTTGAGTGAAGACAAATGGTTGGACACAAAATATCATAGGGCAATCAGAGTTCAATTAATGGTGATCATGCTGAATAAGAATCATTTGATCTATTTGGGGTAATGTCGATCAGCTGCTAAGCAGACCATAACGCTACCGCACAACTACCTCAGTCAGGGCAGATGTTAAGTTAAAATGAGAAATATTTGCAATCTAAATAAGTACTTAGCATTTAGAACAAATGATTGTGGTGTCATTTGGCCAGAATATCAGGTTAACAGCTTTTCTCACATGGAAATACTGTAGGCAGAAGAAAAAGAGGGAAGGTACTGGCAGCTTCTACTTTCAACTCTGGGGTTTTCTAGGGCTTCCCTCTGCAACATAAACTAAGGTGGATGGAAAGATCTCACCTTTAGTTTCTCAGCCAATAGTCAAGATTAAAAAACAGACCTACATATCCAGCCAAGCACAGAGAAGTGCCCGCGCTACCCACCTCCTGATACCACCTCTACGCACTCAGGTGCCTTTGCAATCTGCTCCTCATCCTTGTGCTGCCCAGGTGCAGCACAGGTCTGCGACTTCAACTGAGCAACCAGAGTTCCTGGACAACTAACACCTTATTGCTCCTGCCCTGCTCCTTGCTTACAACAAATACAGCCTCATGTGCCAAAAGTAGTTGAAAAAGTACCTCTCTTAGTTCTTCTTCAGTATTGAGGAATTCTGTGACCCCACTGATAAGCTTCGAATTCATAAATAATGCTTCTCCATATCTGCAAGGGCAAAAAGAAGATGCACAGAGAGTTAGTGCAAGTGCCAGGGCAGCTGAAAACTAGAAAGCAGTCTTCTATAAGCAAGGGAGAAGACATGGGGCCAATTCTGGGGATCTAAAGGAATAGCACTGGAATTGGACACTGGTATTTCAGTGTTTCATGCTAAAAACCTGGACTGAGACCTTCTTCTAGTCTGAGCTAATTGTAGTTAGCTTTTAGTTGGATGCTACTAAGCAGAAAGGACTTAACCACAGCTGCAGATGAGAGCTCCAGAGGAGAAGAGGACCAAACCACACCACCAGCTCACAGGTTTCCATGTAATGACACCAAGCAGCTCAAAACACAGGCACTAAAGAAGGAGTGGAGCAGCAACTACAGAGAAGTATTCTGAGGAACCCTTCTAGCTGTACCATTAAAACAGACTTTTTGAAGTGCTGCAGCCTTCTCTGCCTTTTTTATTCATCCACCTCATCTACATTACAAATAGCCTCTCGATAAGTGAACTGAATCAAATTTTCTTGTTCCAGAACCTCATAATTAAAATAAATAACACTGATAGAGAATAATACTGCTAAAATAATCCCCTGGGCCATGATGTAGTATCTTCAAAGAATCAACCTGGAATGAAAATTGGAAAGCTTGGGCAAGGAATATTTGAAGGATAGGATATTCAGCAGCAATCAGCAATGACCTTCTGCAGGTAGTTGCTTTGAAACCGGCCATTCAAATCCTGCTGTTCCTCTCGCTTTTCCACAAATCTTTTTTTTAACCCCCCAAATGAAGCATCTATATCACTTATAAGATTAACCAGACTACTTCTAAAGTTTTGCATTTCATGTTGGAATAATTTGTGGGTTGTGTTTTTTTCAAAGTCTCTAGCATGAAGAATATAATTCCATTGAAAACCAGAAAGCAAGTCTTTTGTTTAAGTTAGATGTCATTCAGCAGAGCAAAAGGCACTTGACAAAGAGTCATCCTTATCTTTATCTACATGTACATCCAAAGCGATATCTAGCTAATCTGAACATGATTGTTTTCAAGATAGGGAATCCAGCTCCGCTGTCAGACATGTATAAGTAACACCAATAGACTTCACTGCAAGTAAGTTTATCTGGGGGAACAATTCAGTTCACACCCTGCTTTTACAAACTGTTTTAGAGGAGGAATTCAAAATTCAAAGTAAAATGAGTTCGGCACAGTCACAGCTTTCTGTTCTGCTTCTATTAATCCTAAATTAATTCCCCTTAAATGCTTACGTACTGTAAGCCACAGTCCTTTCAAAAGGGAAAAAGAAAGAGAAAGGTAGAGGGATAGCCCCAGGGAGAGTGCTAGAAAGAGGGAGAGGGAAGAGAACTGGGATTTCTTTCCGAAGATTCTGTTTTAGGGAAGGTGTACACTGTGTTGCTTGCTACTTTGAGCTTGTGTGAAGGGAAACACACTTATAGGTATCAAAAATCCTACTCCCTGACCACCAGTAACTGAATTATTCATGGATATTTCAGCAAGTACATCTCTTTTTCCAAAACTTCAGTCACACTGACATATACAGTCATCCAGAGGCAAACGCCTCCTATGGGAAGTATGGATTTCATGGTCCTTTAAGCATGTTTAGGCTTTCTAACAAAGCCCTTTATTATTACAGTCTCAGCTTAGCCTCATAATTGACTGCTTGGAAAACTGGAAGCTCCTCTTGATGGGGTCTTTTGACAAGGTTACCAATCCACTTTACAGAAGCGACCTCATAAAAACAGCTGCAGGGATTTTATTTTTCTTGCAGTCTGTACTGTAGCCACAGTGCAAACAAGAAGGAGCAGAATTCCTTTCACTGAAAATGATACCCTCATGAATATCTGTGCTGATTACCGCCCATTATGCATACCTGGTAAAAAGTCAGCCACTAACAGCAATTTCTAAATGGGCTCTGCAGGCAAAAATTCTAGAAAAGCCACCTCCCAAAATAGTATTCTGCAGGTGTGAAACATAAGAAAAAATAGAGAAAGTGTTTGGTCTTGCAAGTATCAGTCCTCCCACCCTTCACAGGAAAGACAAGAGCACTGCAGAACCAGGACCTTACATGCCTGAGATCCCTGGAAATACCCTGGCGTCACGGGCTCTCCACCTATTCCTTTACTTCTGGGGATGTGAACCTCCAGTGCCTCACATCTGTACAGGCTCTGCACTTGTGCAAACTCCACTTGAGAGGCAGTATAGTCCATTTACTTTGGACAGATGTAAATGGCTTCCCAAATATTGTTGAATTCCCAAATGCTGACACATATTTCAGCACTCGAGAAAGAAGGAATTCTTATAGGCAGCTGTTGGATCAAAAGTTCACACACAGACAGACAAGTGCACACGTGATGAAAACGATTTAGGGGCCAAGGCAGTGCATGTTCAGGTAACAGGAATTGAAGCACAGTATTTTCAATTGTCTTTTTCAGAATTTTAGCAGTCTCAGACCCATAGATTTGTTACGCAAGACTTCTTAGGCACCTCAGTTTCTAAGTCACCTTTGAAAATGGGATATGAGTGATTTTGAAGACTTTAAACATTATCAGTATCTTCTGGACAATGTGAATACAGGCATACTGTAAAAATAGAAAGGGCTAACAATATTTTGTTGTCATTCTAACTCTTTGACATGCTGTGTGTTAAAGTTAGAGGAAATAGCATTATAGTATAATTTAATCACCCTCAGCTACTTCTTATTGCTATCTCAAATGTCAACACCTTTTATAATAAATTCAATGGAAAATACTATTGAGATATCACCTTATTAAATTAATGTTTCATACGAAGTATTTTAATTTTAAATAAAATAAAACAATAAATTACAATTGTAGAAAAAAGGTGCCTTGGGACAGAGTATACTTGAGCTATAATTCTGTAATAAAGCTGCATTTTAAAAATGTGCTAGTGTGGCAAGCTTAAATCAGAAGCCTAATTTTACATTCTATCATGTCGCTGTTTCACTGAACATTAAAGGGCAAGGTGTTAGACTAACTCCACCCTCTCAGTCTCTCTTAAAAGGTTTTAATCTATAATTACAAAACAAAGTTATTTTCCATATACATCACATATGTTCAGCCTGCATGAACTACTTCATTACACTGCATTGAATTTTTTGGCAATTGATAGAAGCTCAGCTGGATGTGCCTTTCAGAAAAATGCAACTGCTACAATCCTTTTGGTGGCTCTGATTCGTGTTTGGAGATCAAACTGAATGTAGAGAACATAAAGTCAGTGTCAGGCAAAGAGATAGACTCTCTGTTATTTTCTCATTAAAAAAAGGACAATAACAGGTTTTTGATGAGGTCTTGCTGATTCTTAGGAACTCAGATAACAGAGTGATGCATTCCAAGCAAGTGAGATAAATAAAATTCAAATTTTAGGTGAAGTTCAGTTATCTAAAATTAAAACACATGAAAAATCTGGCATGTGCCAAAGTCTTCTAAATCTTTTCCATCTGTCCACACTGCTTAACTTTGTCCATGTCTAAAACCACAGGTGTTAACTAGGTTGTCAGATGAACTTGCTTGCTAAGGCAGGACACAACTTCTGCGTATGTGTTTGCAGCAATACAGATTTTGACAGATTTATGCCTAAACTCTGTACAAATCCCTGGAGGAACGTGAAAAATTATTTGCTATCCAGAGCATAACTAACTGCACTGGGTTGCACAATAATAATGAGTCTGCCATCCACTTTCTGTGTGAAAGTCCAGTTCCTGGAATAATCACACCAGAAGCAGAGGATTCTTAATTTTTAAACTCTTCAGCATTCTTAAAGTTTTTTGGAAACTGCTTTCAAAAAGTATGCTCCTGCAATATAAACTTCCAAAACCAATTCCAGCTCAAATCTATTTTCCCAGCTGAACTTCTTCTAAAATCCCACTATACTATAAAGTATTATCCAAAACAGCATGGACAACTTTTTGAATCCTTAGGGAAGTTGCACAGTCTCTTGAGTTTCCTTGACTCTTCTTCTGATCCTGTGAAATCTATAGTAAGTTTGTACCTGTATTCATCAGGTACTAGGATTTAGTTGCTTAAATACAGCATCTTAAATATACCATTTCAAATATTCTGTGCTACACTAGATGGCTCCTCACAAGTTCAGAATGGAACAGATTTCCAACACTTTTTCTGCCAACACCATGGGAGTGGCCTGGCGTGGGGTGTCTGAAGTTCTTGGACAACTGCCTTTAAGAACTTGAACCTCATGCGAGTTGTGGTCCCTTCTAATCTGTCAGTAGCAGAAGAGCTGCCGTGGAATCTTTCAGACCCTCAGGCTGTCCCTAAAGAACTAAAGAAATTTGTCATTCGTTGAATTAATATCAAAATCTTCATCAAAAAGGATTTTAAAATGTTGACTGAGCTTCTGAGTAGGAGCATGTAGCACTTGTTCAAAGAAAAAGAGAAGTAGGTATACGAAACCGCCCCATCTCCTTCCTGTTTATCTGTTTTTAATACAAAATGTTGCTCCTCTGTTACTTGAAACTCACCTGAAACACAGAGTGGAAGGAAAGGGGATGACACTACATTAGCATCCTTTTGAAAATGGAAATGTTTCAAAAAGGGTTTGGTGTTTTTTCCACAGTTGAAATAATGTTGTTCAAAAGAGTGTTTTTTCTATCAGACTTAAAATCAGCAAAATTCCTTTGGGAACTGCTGCTTTGTTATCTATGTTAGAATTCATTATCGTAAGTGCAGACACAATACAGTAATAGATATATATATGGGTGATGGCTAAGAGATAAATGTTCCTATGCATGTGTGTGACAATCCATGAATAAATGCATTTATGACTCTCATGTATGTATTTCATATTTAGAGACATCTCTGTTTATGGATTAAAAGAGAATGGATTAGATTCAGGAACTTACATGAATACATACGTATACAATACTTACATAAATTACATCAAAATAAGAAAATGAAGATAAACATTGACTTTTTATCTTTACCTAGCATTTAATATTTTCCATTTTTCTCTGAAAAACTTCCAAGCAAGATCTCTTCCATGTGGATTTCGAGCTACATGGATTATCACATCAATTGCATCCTGATCCAGGACAACTTCGGAGTTGAGAGACAAATTCAAAAGCCTGGTGGGAGTAAGAAGGGAAAAAAAACCTATTTGGTTTCTCCAACACATAGTCTCACGACAGCATATTAGAAAACTCTCAGAAAAAAAATTATCACTGCCAAACGGTTTGTTTAAGTCTCCAAGTGAGTTCAGTGGTTTATTGCTATGATTCCAAAGACCAGACACATTTATGAATCAGAAAAATCTTGATGTAAAAGGATTTCAGTAAAAGCTGAGTGGAACTTTGCATGTGCATTTTTATGAAACCAGTAAGATCAGACTGGTCAATACATTTAAATAAAGGATATGGTAATAAAAACATAACAGCAATTATTATAGGATTTCAAACATTTCCAATGAACATAGCAATATTTGGAAGTGAAAAGACATAATATGTGTCAATTTTGACATGCACTAATGCAAAAATGTAGGATAGTTTAAACAGACACTAAGCCTGTGCTTGAAAAGCAAAGTTCTTTCATTTAGACCAAAACTCAAGTGACGATCCATAAATGTTGAAGTGATTATCGGTAATAGTCAGATACAGATACATAATATTTTTGTACCTGTTGAGCAAGTTTCTGTCGTCACTGCAAGTTAAGGCTTCTAACAATATTTTTTTTTCCGACACTGCTGTGGTAGAATGAAATTTCATCCAAATGAACTCCCATACATCTTCATCCATCAGTGAAACTCCTGTACAGTACACAATGTCTCTCACATTGAGTGGGATTCTACAAAAGAAATCAGTAATAGCACTGTGGTAAATAAGCAGCCTCCTGATATTGGAAACAAAGAACATCACTACATTTATGAGATTCCAAAATTAAAGTGGAACAGTAATCTTCTGTTGGAAAATTACATTTGCATCTCTTTACTGCCACCAAAATCTTCCAGGCCATCCTAATGGATTTTCTAATTGGTAACACACGCTTACCACTCTTTTCATAATGCTGTCACATTGTCAGGAGACTATAAATTATGGTCATCCAGTTCATCAACACATAATGTGCCACATAACCTGCAGGACAGGTAACATAAACTCTCCAAATTAGCACGGGATCTTATCACTCTGTGCTGGGCTCTAAGCCAAATCTCTTCTTCTTGTCTTTAGCACTGAGGTTTTAGAACAGGAGCCGATCAGCCAGAAACTCTGCCTTGCCTGTGCTGTAAAGTGCTCCATCTTCACATAGTAACATACAAGGCAGGAAGGATGAGCTGAGACAATGCTACTTAAGAACAGGAAGAGCTGTTCATTTTCTCAGCATATGAATACCAGCACAAAACCAGCTCTGCTATAGGATGGTTGTGAACTGTGATTACTGTGCAAGTAATATACACTAAGACTACAGTTAAATGAAGGCTTCTTGAAGCTTTGTCTGAGTCCCTGGAAAATAAAACCAGTGTGGCTTTCCAGCATTTCAAAGTTTTGGTTCCTCTTCAGTACTTCAGAAGGAAGTAGGCAAGGTAAGAAACCATATATTGATGACTGTGAAAGGTTACAAACTGCTATTGCCTCTATGGGGTTACCTGGTCCCAACAACTATGACGGTTTCTTGAGAAAAAGAATAAAAGGAATACATAACTAAATTAAGGCAAAACTGGAAAAAAAAAGTGCACCCCTCCTTCCTACTGGCTGAAGAACGTTGGGAAATTAATGCCTACTGCTTTTTTGTTATGCTTTTTCTGAATAGTAAAAGAAGTCCTGAGGTTGAGGCTTTATTCATGTTCTCCGTTGAGTGCAGTCAGCTCAGAGGGTGTATCTGCAGGTTTAGATGCAGACAGTCACATGAATTTTGCTTCTGCTGAGCTGACATGGCTCAGGATAGTGCTGCTTCTTGGAGATTTTTTAGCAGAGTCCCAGGCTAACAGAGTCACAAAGGGCTGCCTTGATTAATGCTGAAGTATTCTGCATTTGATCCAGACAAACTCAGACATTTATTCAGGAGCAAACTCTCCAAAGCAAGACTGAAAGGGTAGGCAAGACAAATGTAATCCATTTTAAAGTTACCAGGAATATGAAACTTTTAACTATGCGCAGCACACACCAGCAATACTGCCTTCTAAAGCAAAACCAGAGGTGCAATGTCTCGTCTCTGCCATGAACTGCTTCCATCTAGCCAGGGTAGATTGATACTATAGATCCTGGCATGGTTCGAGATCTCACTGCTTCTTCTCCTCCCACCACCAAATCACTGTGTGAGAACATCCCTGTCCCTAGCCATGCTAGGCAATCAGCATTGCTATGGTTACAACTACACAGCTCAAGCAATTCCTACATGTCACTGACACATAGATGGGACCTTCAAAAAATGCAGGTTCTACAGTTCCTCCCCCTTGACACTTCCTATTACCGCCTCAGATTTTTTTCCCTCAATGCTCAGATGACTTAAAAAGCTTGGCACTGAAAAAAGTTAGTAACTTTCCTCAGATTTACCCAGGATCAATAGATTTTGGCTTATGTATGGTCTATGCAACTGCTTCTGTGGTCCCTTTAGAACTGCTACGCCAAGAACAAGGATACCAGAAAATCCTTAGAGCTGACCAGACCCATTAAAAGAAATAGCGTTTAAACATACACGGGCAGTGAAGGAAAAAAAGTTATCACTTTCACCAGTCTTTCCATACTACTGAGTTTTGATTCTCAGAAACTGAATTAACATTGGTAAAATGTGAGTTTGGTTGACATTTACAGAATTATCCGTGTGTGCTATATGCCGAATTTCCATTTCACTGTAATGGAATTTGTACTTCTCACTTGAAAGTCTATCATTAAGCCCTTGTGGTATTTCAAACATTAATGAATATCAACAGTTTATTTTTCCCCCATTTAACCTTTCTTTCAAAAAGTGCATGCAAAGGAAACTGCATATAATTGAGTCTATTACAGAAAATTAAGACTACATGTTTAAACACAAGAAATCAAAACATACTAAAATTAATGGAGTAGATATTCAGGTGCTGCCTTTGTGTTGGCTTATATTAACTCAGAATGAGGCTTAAAGTTTTCTAAATAACTGCAACTCTCTTAAAACTGTGAGTCAGCAATTACAGTAACATAAATACGCAGCCATATACACATACACTGCACAGAACATGAAAGTGCCATTAATTATCGTTCTGTCTTGATTTTCTGATACACTAGGTTATTTGTTCTTAAAGCACAACTTCCTAAGCAGCTTATGTCTTTTCTTGCTTTTAATTTGGGATTTAATATACTGACAGCAACCATAAGAACATACGCTAAACCAAAAGGACTAAGGGATGCTATCCTGACCGTGGGACCAAACAACCCGTTGCCCCAAATTTGTCTTACTGTATGATATCTGAATACGAAGAACAACTGATCCCAGTCAAGCCTTCAGTGAAGGAAGGACTTTACATCTTGACACACAAAGACTAAATCATTTTTTCAGAAGCACACGTAGTTCTTTCTGAGCTTTGCCGGCAGAAATATTATCTTTGGTTTACTGCAAGCGATGCGATTCAGCCAACAGATACTCTAAGGAACTATAAGGCACCTGGAGAAGGTAATTCTTTTTAGGTTGATTGCCCCATTAATTCAGGTAGGAACTGTGTGCTGGAAAGACTGTCACTCTGTGTTTGGCTAGTAAAGTCAGCAGCAGAGGCACCTAGAAGTGGATGTCTAACCCTAGAAAGGTCAGCATTCCTCACTTGTGAGGTTTAAATTTTTGAAATTTACAGTAAAACATATCAATCCAATGGGCTTTCCCACCTACTCCATCATTTATGTTCTAAGTGCCAACACTAGCGATTTTAGCAGCAGTGCAGTCAGTAACCGCAGGATCATTTGCACGCCCTGAGAAGGAAGGGGAACTTGAGACAAGGGATGGCACTGATCCCATGCCCTTAGCCTAAATGTCACCACGTTCCTTGCTAAGAAAACTCTATCGCCACCAAATTGGTAATAGCATACTTGCAGTGCTGCAACAGATCTGCTCCATATCAGCCAACCAATTGCTCCAGGGAAGGTTTTAGGTGTCTAGCTATAAGCTAAGTCATTAGGACAACGTGAAATAAATCAGCCCCTACAAACCAAGACATCAAAACAAATACTGACTTTAAAAGGCTTAGCTTCAGAAGCTACAAAACTTAGGGCTATGCAAAGCTACAAATTACTCCTGTGAGAGGCTTGTAATCAGGACTGCAGACAGGGGGGTTCTCCTTCTGGAAATGAAAATTGTTTATGAAAACATGAATATCCCCAAAGTCATTTCTCTCAACAGAGAGTCCTCTAATTGAATTTTCTCCATTTGTGGAGATTTTTGCTTTCTCTCTCCTCCAGTCATTATGAGTCTGTATTTCATCTTTATCTAAACATGTGAAATCTCCCCAGTCTATAGATTTTTTACTTTTATAGCTTCCTGGAAAATGTTCTAAAATTGCAGTTCCAAGGCATCAGATCAGCATGCGGAATGTTTGCCCCCTGTATTAACTGAATCAAGTGGATAAAATTACCATTGTTTCAGTACCGCATAGGTAGTCACACTGCAGAATGTACCCCCTTGTTATACTAAACCTCATCTGGGCTTTCAAGGCCGCTCTCATTTTTAAAGAGCTAGTATGATTGATGGATATTTCAGAAGAATAAAGATAAAGATTAACTTTTGAAAGCATCACGTTAAACGGCTTTTATTTGAATACTGATCCAATTTATTTAACTTTATTTTTCTTGCTTAAGAGATATGATGGTGAGAATGAAATATGTAGCTAGCAGAGCTCATGTTTAAAAATTAAACACTTTGGGAAAAAAGTTAAAAATTAAACAGTTAGGAAAAAATTAATTAAAATCGTGCTGTGCCTTTACAGGGATTTTTTTTTTTCAAGAGTGAATAATAAAGCTCTACAATGAGCTAAGAATAATCTTCTAAGTTATAATTAATTGGTACATACTTGCTCCTGTTTAAAGTATGTTTTAACAATTGGAGATACACTTACAAAATTGAACCATAATTATTTATCTTCTGGGCAAATTGTGTTCTAATTTTTTAAAATGTAATTGCACACAGTTTAGACAGTTCTTTGATTAAGTGACAAATTTCTGTACCATTTAGGGTTCTATTTGACAAAGAAAACGAATCAGAAATATTATTCTTTATTTCTGCAACTATTTAACATTTAACTTAAGCCTGTTTTTCTTGATGACTGTATTTATAGTCTTATTTAATAGCTTACAAGGCTCAGATAAGAAATAACAACGAAGTATGGGTACTTTGTTGGCAGATCTGTAACACAGATTCTGTTAGAAGGAATAGCACCACACAAAGTTTATTTGTTAAGACGGCAGTCCCAAAGCTGATACTCCCATTCTCTATTACCAACTCCGGGAGCCGTGCTGCCGGCACCCCGTGCACACAGAGGAGGGGAGGATCCTCTGCCATAGCACAGGCCCAGGCTGAAGAGAAAGGGCAGAATTTCCCCTTGAAAACTGAGGCACAGAGCTGTGATGGGCTTGACATTCAGGTGCCTGTTATGCATTGAATTCAGGGGATATTAACCGAGGATGTGGCTACTCAGGGTCTCTGTGGCAAAGCCACCAGCTCTCCTCAGTCCCAGTCCTGTGCTTCCAAGCTTCAGGTATCGCATGGGTCTGATTGAGGCAGGCAGAGAACACATCATCCCTCAAGTGATGGTTACTGATATTGCTCCTTCCCCTTCCTACAGCAGATATCCCACAACCAAACACGCGACCAGCACACTCAAGCTCTTCAAT